GTTTTTGGGGGTCCCTGGGGGTATTTTGGGGATCCCTGGGAGTATTTTGGGGCTCATTTGGGGTGTTTTTGGAGTCCCTGGGGGTATTTTGGGGCTCTTTGGGGTGTTTTGGGGGTCCCTGGGGGCATTTTGGGCTTATTTGGGGTGTTTTGGGGGTCGCTGGGGGTATTTTGGCCTCATTGGAGTGTTTTGGGGGTCCCTGGGGGTATTTTGGGCTCATGGGGGTGTTTTTGGGGTCTCTGGGGATATTTTGGGGCTCCTTTGCTGGGGTTATTTTGGCTCATTTTGGGTGTTTTTGGGGGTCCCTGGGTTATTTTGGGCTCATTGGGGTGTTTTTGGGGGTCCCTGGGGGTGTTTTGGGGGTCCCTGGGGGTATTTTTGGCTCATGGGGGTGTTTTTGAGGTCCCTGGGGATATATTGGGGCTCATTGGGGTGTTTTGGGGGTCCCTGGGGTTATTTTGGGCTCATTTTGGGTGTTTTTGGGGGTCTCCCCCCCCCAGGCCTACGAGGAGGCCCAGAAGCGCCTGAAGGCCTCCGAGGAGGACCAGAAAGCCATGGTGAGACCCCCGCCTACCGCCGCCCCGGCAACAGGCGGCCGCGGCGCAACAGCCGCCGCCGGGAGCCCCCGCGACCCCGCGTCCCCCCGCCCGCAGATCCCGGAGCTGCGCAAGAAATCCCGGCGGGAATACCTGGCCAAGCGGGAGCGGGACAAGCTGGAGGAGCTGGAGGCCGACCTGGCCGACGAGGAGTTCCTGTTCGGCGGGGTGACGCTCACAGGCGCCGAGCGCCGCGAGCTCGCCTACAAGCGGCGCCTGCGCGACCTGGCGCGCGACTACAAGCGCGCCGGCGAGCGGGAGCAGCTGGAGCGCAACAGCCGCTACCGCATCCCCGAGGAGACGCGCGGCAAGGTGACACGCTCGCGGTGTCGCCGCCGCCTGTAGGGCAGCCCCGCGCGGCTACAGGCGCGCTCGCGGTGTTGCCGCGCTCGCGGTGTTGCCGCTGCCTGTAGGGCAGCCCCGCGTGGCAGTGCGGGCTCCCGGTGTCACCGTGCTCCCGGTGTCACCGCGTTCACGGTGTCACCGTGCTCCTGGTGTTTCCATGTTCCCCGTGTCACCCTGCTCACGCTGTTGTATTGATAATATCGCCACGTTCCCGGTGTCACCGTGCTCATGGTGTCACCCTGCTCACGCTGTTGTCGTGCTCCCGGTGTCGCCCCGCCCGTGCTGTCACCATACTCTCGGTGTCACCCCATTCCCGGTGTCACCCTACTCGCACTGTCACCCCGCTGCCGGTGTCACCGTGCTCATGGTGTCACCCTGTTCCCGGTGTCACCGTGCTCACGCTGTCACCCTACTCATGCTGTCACCCCACTCCCTGTGTCACCCTGCTCCCAGTATCACCCTGCTCACGCTGTCGCTGTGCTCCCGGTGTCACCCTGTTCCCGGTGTCACCCCGCTCACACTGTCACCCCACTCCTGATGTCACCCCGTTCCCAGTGTCACCCTGCTCATGGCGTCACCCCGCTCCTGGTGTCACCCCGCTCACACTGTCACCCCACTCCTGATGTCACCCCACTCCCGGTGTCACCCTGCTCACACTGTCACCCCGCTCATGGTGTCACCCTGGTCGTGGTCTCACTGTGCTCCCGGTGTCACCCCACTCCCTGTGTCACCCCACTCCCGGTGTCACCCCACTCCCTGTGTCACCCCGCTCCCGCTGTCACCCCGCTCCCTGTGTCACCCCGCTCCCGGTGTCACCCCACTCCCGGCGTCACCCCGCTCCCAGTGTCACCCCACTCCCGGCATCACCCCACTCCCGCTGTCACCCCACTCCCGGTGTCACCCCACTCCCGGTGTCACCCTACTCACACTGTCACCCCGCTCCTGGTGTCACCCCACTCCTGGTGTCACCCTACTCACACTGTCACCCCGCTCCCGGTGTCCCCCCGCTCCCGGCGTCCCCCCGCTCACGGCGCGGCCGTC